TATTTTCCTCACAACAACCTTGAGAGAGAGTGACTGGCCCAGAGTCACCCAGCTGGCTTTCGTGGCTAAGGTGGGCCGAGAACTCACGTTCTCCCGCTGTCTAGCCTGGTGCCTTAACCACTAGACCAAACTCTAGTGAGGCTCTGCTTTTTTTTTGTGTCTGTGAGGTTTTTTTGTGTCTTTTACTATTCTATTTCTGCGCACTTAAGAAATTAGTAATGGGTGGTCTGTACACAATTTAACTAAATACATATTTTGATTTACAATATAAATATTAAAACAGTACCAACTATCAGCGGAAAACAATGTATCAGAAATCAAGATACTTAAAATTTTAAAAAATTAAATATTTAAAATGACAATACTGCATATTAAGTATCTGTGTACAGCCACTGGATGATCAGCCTCTCCAGGTAACAGGAAGTTTTTTTTTTTTTTTACCCAGTTAGGAGTAAGGGTATCCTTGAAAAGGATATTGCAGGGTTTGGGTGCCACCACCCAGAAGGCCCTCTCTCACTGTCCCAACTAAGGCACTGTTTGCATGACACATCCAGACAGACAGTTAAGGAGTGAACATCTTCCATATCACACATGGCTTTAACCAAAAACACAGATTTACCATGTTTTCAGAACCTGGGAACAGCCACTATTTAGAGATTATGAAAACCAGACTTCATAAGCGAAGATCAAGAAACAATTCATATTTCAGTTTCTGTTAACTCAAAATGATGTGCGTTTCAGGTTCAGACAATGCAGTGAGACTAAGCTATTGAACAAGAGTCATGCACTCTATCTGACCTCTGTTAACAATAAGCAGCTTTATTATGAAGTACTTGTAGCTTCTGAATATTCCTCCTCTTGAATATGTATATTTTATTTTTCAGACAATGCCAACAGGCTAATACTTTGGAATATTTTGGAACTTGAACAGGTTTGTTCAGCTCTATTTTTATTTTTGAAATCTGTGAAAGCTTCCCTTTATTCAAACGGATCAGACTCCCTGGTGATTCGTTCATTCATATGGACAAGAAAGCAAAGGCAGGCAGGCACCATTCCTGGAGTTTTGTTTTAATTGCTGGAAAAATGATTCTATAACAGGAAGCAAAGATGTGGAGGTGGGACTGTTAGCAGAGACTCATTCAAGAGGAGAAGGTATTTCCCTGTACACTGAGGCTGAATGGCATTGTGTGATGGGTGATGTCCACAGGCATGTCTGTCTGGAATATCTAACCATTGAGGATGGTGCTTTTTCTTTTCACTGGCAATGACTTTCTAGGATCCAAGGATCTTCCCCCTCTTGCTACCTGAGATCTGTTACCTAGGAATGTCATAGATTTAATTTGGAACTATGGGTACTTTACTGATGATCTATAGAAGTTCCTTGGATAAGAGGAAGGATGAAACACCTGCCTGCCCCATTAGATTTGGAGAGCAGAAAACAGACAGATCTGATCCCCAGTATGCCCCATCAGTGCTTCTTGAAAGGAATGAGAATTGCCCCAGATCATTGGGGAAACATTCTTTTAATAAGAACTTGAGCAGGAGATTTGTCTATGATCCATCATCACATATGCAGGAGGGAGGTGGTTTGTCTTGGGCTGCCCTTATTTTGGGGCATGCTTGCTTATGGGTGAAATGGGATTCTTATCTGCACTGGTGTTAGCTAAGTGAAAATAAGGAGTGGTATTGACTTTGGTTTAATTACTGCCAACAAGTACCAGTATTTGATTTCTGTTTGGGTGTGTACCTTATGGAGGCTCTGCTTTTTGTGTGCAAAAGAGTACTTGGTGCTTACAAAGTCTGTGTGTGTACCAGACACCTTGCTGCAGACACATGGCCATTGATATGTCTGTTACTGTTCGGATACTCTAGACTCCTGTGCATTTGCAGTGCGCAGGCTATTTCACAGCCTCCCTGCTGTCCTCTGCTCTGTCCACATTTGATCCCTGCACAGAAGCATCAGCTAAAACCATTCTTATAACAATAAATATTTGCTACACTTTCTGGTATGCAGCATTCGTGACAACCTCACTGTCGGGATGCGTGCATGTGACTTCACACAAGGGCAGCCCGACTACATCTCAGGAAACAACCCCAACCCAGTCCCTGCCTCTCCAAGTCTGGGCAAGGCTCCAGACCGCTCTCTCCTTCTGTTTGGTTCAGGCTGAAGCTATTGTCTGGTGAATTATTCATTTGTTTGAAGAGAGGATAAGCCAAGGAAAGAGACTCGGGTTACCCCAGGTTTCCCATGGAGCAGGGCAAACTGCCCATATTTAGCGCGAACCCAAAGCCACGGGGCATATATTCAAAGACTGTAAGTGGAGAAGAACAGCTGGCCCCTATCTCTTACTGCTTGGACATTCCTGTCCTTTCTTTTAGCACTTCCCTGGACAAATCAGGAAGAGTCTGGCTACTTCTTCCAGCAAAAATAAGATTTAATGAAATCTGGACAGGAGCCCTTATTCTCAGGGGGGGATATCCTTCCCGCCTCTCCCCATGGGACTGGAAGAAGGCTCTCAGACATTTCATTCCCAGCAAGGCATCTTTTTAATGAATGGAAGGAATTATATGGTTGCTCCACTTTCTTCAGGTTTGTAAACAACCGCTGGCATACTGAGGATTGAGAACTGTAATTCATACACTATTTCAGTAGCCCTTAAATTAATCCAGGTGTACTGCTATTGTTGTCCTTCTAATCAAAGACAGAAATTAGGTCATAGTTTGCTTAATCATAGTTTGCTGATCAATCCACAATTTGCTGAATTCACACAATGTATTAAACCACAAAACATGATTTACAAAACACAGCTGGGTGCGTGATATATTCATGCCCATTTTGCCTCACTGCACTGCCCACCCCCCAAACACCAATAAGAAACCCCATGGTCCTTAACTTCAACAGAGTTCCCCAATGGGCCAGATTCCTTCCCTTTGCTTATGATGAAACACCTTCATTCTGTTTTCTGCTCTCAGAAAGACCCTTCCTTTGCTGTTTTCCCTGTGTGAAACGGTAGATTCCCCTTTGCAGATGCTATTTTGTACCAGGAAAGCACCATGTCACACGAACAAACAAAGGTATTAATAACAACGTTAATGCTGCTGCTCCTTTTACATTTTCCCAGATTTCAGTGAACTAGAGAGAAACTAGTGAGAAATCAAATCATGTATAAAATCAGCTGCCAACTATAAGATACCTGTCTTGTTATTTGTTTCTGTTTTGTATGTAGCCATTTGTAGAGCACTGCCACCATATCTGGTGGCAATGCTTTGCATGCTTGGTCAGAAAACAAAAAGGAATAAATGCTAGTCCTGTGACTCACAACTGTGATACTGAGAAACATAGGAATGATCTCTTATTTAAGAATACAGCAAACTTCATGGGGGGCAGAAGTGGGGAAACAACAGCAATACCCTAAATCTAGAAAAACAGTCTAGTTGAGTAAAAGCAGTGCTGTAAGTAACTAATTATTGCAGATTTCTTTTGTTACTTCTTCGCCATGAGCCTCAGGACTGCTCAGATTCAAAAATACCACTCTGCTTTCTGCTTTTGAGTTTTAAGAGCAGTTACATATAGAATAGTAAAAACTAACATTGTATATTGAAAGACTGTATATAATTTGGAGCACTGCTGTTGAAAAATTAAGTTTTCCATTGCTCAAAAGGTATCTCCTGCTGCTGCCTCTTTGCAGTTAAATTGTTGTGGCTGAAGCATACACAAAAAAGGTATTTTCCTCATGGATGAATTAAAGTATTATCCAGCAGTCTCTAAGCTGGCAGAAAACTACACCAACATAAAATGTACTGCATCACTGGTGATCCCTATCCAGTCACAAGCACAATGCTACCAAATGATGGAGTCCTTATTTATGGTGTACAGGGTACACTGAGTACAAAAATGTGTGAATTTCATTCAGCTTGGTTTCCTTCCCCTCCCACTGAATATCACAGCCAGTGGGAAAACATTCACCAGTCACTCACCTTAATGTGGGATGGAGTGAGGAAAATGTGAATTTTGACAGAAAGCTAAACAGAAGGCTTAGCCATTTGTCAATGCTTGTTCTGGTTTTTCACAATGATTTTGTATAAATGCTTTCAAAGGGAGGCCAACTATCAGCCAGATGTAGATTTAGCTTTCTTCTAGAATACAATAGCATTGTTTCAGATAGCACTAAACCTGGGTCAAAAGGAGCCTGGCTATTCCAGCATAAGACTAAATAAATGATATCATCTGACAATTGGGCTCCTTTTGAACATAGGACTGGTATTATTCTACAAGCAGCCCAAATAACAACCAACATGAATGGGGAGACTTGTGCAGTGAAGCACCAGAGAAACAGCTGTTCCTCTTTCTCCTGAATGTGCAATGTAACCCCACACTCAGCTGCTGTTCAGGCTAATCCAGATCTCCAGGCTGAAGACTGACTTGAAGAACTAGTGGGTACAGGGGGAGAACCTGGTCTGAAAGAACCAAACTATCCTGCTACCCAGCTTGTAAGGGACCTGGAAGACAATGCCCAAGGACTGGAGAAGCAGGGACCATCCCACACCAGGCTAAAGTGATCAAGAGATACCCAGTTAGGGATCACCTGACTGACAATGACCACGTGGTTGGTGAAGCACATCAGATACCCATGGCAAAACTACTGCAACTTGCTGCTTGCTTAAAGGAGGAAAACACTAACACCATAACAGCTAAAGATAACTTTAAACTACCCCAGATACGGGTTGGGGATGAAAAAAAGACATGGCAAGAAAAAAAAAGCAAGCTTGTGGAATGGTTAGGTGTAAGTGGAGAAAGGTTCCAAATTTGCCATCCAATCAGCAGACCCTGCTAGAATCACATGCTATCAACATTCTCTCTCCTCCCCCCTGCAGAATTCTTACCTTTACTTTGTTATTCGATAGGCGGTAGCATGTCTGGCAACACTCACAAGGTAAATGGCATGACGACCTTAGTGAGCCTCCCAGAGAGTTGATGCATATAATAAACCAGCCTTTATCCCATGTCTGTTCCAAGCTAAAACTACATGTTATGAAATTCTGAGCTGCAAGAGCATAATACAAACTGCATGAGCTTGAGATTCACGTCCCATCTCTCTATCTCCAAGCCGGGCCCACAAGAACCACAAACAATTGAGTCAAGCTACTATGTCTATGAGCTCCATGTTTTGAAAATAATCATCTGACCAAATGGGCCTGCCAATCCACACTTCTTCCTAATCCCCATCTTGGGTCTATGGGGGGGAGGGGATTCCCATGGGGAATCTTGGTTGAAAACTTGGAGCACCCCCTCTGCCTAAGTGCCACAGGGGAGAACAGAAAACACTTACCGTAATGGCTTGCAGCCGCTGTGCAAATAAGGAGCTCTCCGCCATTTTCCTTCTGAAAGACAAACAGAGCCCCTTGGGACGTGTCCAGAGGACACTGGATGCCAGCATTCACCATTGCATCCTTTTTCTTTCCCCAGTTTCTATCTCAAGTTCTTATATGCTCTGTTCCCTGCCCTCTAATAGACCCTTCTCTCCTCTCCTCTCCTCTCCTCTCCTCTCCTCTCCCCTTCCTTCCTTCCTTCCTTCCTTCCTTCCTTCCTTCCTTCCTTCCTT